CCCCATAAAAATAATTTACATACTATCTGCTGATTTATCAAAGCAGTGACTGTGTAACTGAGTCATGTGTGTGTGTGTGTGTGTGTGTGGTGGGGGGTGCATCCCTGCTGGTGAACCAAACCATGGGATGAAAGGCATGTGATCTGGTTGTTAGATGAAAGTTCCAAACTGATCCTGGTTACAACGCAACAACAGAAACAGAAACAGAAACAGAAATAGAAACACGATGACATACAAGTTCAACTTACTTGCAAAAGCTTCCTAGTGCACACGGTGTACATGAAGTGGAACTCTGCTGCGATGAAAAGAAGCCTAAAAGCAGCAGACAGAAAATAACTCAACACATGTGATTTGTGTTTTCTCTCAAATTTTAGATTACATGAAACTGCACTGACATCATTGCATGTAAATTAGTAATCGTGCAACTATCTAGGCATATAATCGGTTCATTTGCAAGCTTACATTCCCTCATAATTGATCTGGTAAAGGCATTTTTATATATACAGTCTAATTTCTGACTACAAGAATACTGCTGTTGTCTGAACACATAAGGCTCTGATTTATAACAGTAGCCTACTATGAGTTTTAGTCTATAGCTAAATAAACACACCTGGTGAGCAACTTGTGCAACTTTCTCCACCAGTGTTGTTGTTGAAGGATCCAGCAGGGCACGGGTGACATAATGGACTTCCTGTGAAACTGTACAGTTGTGTAAAATACACAAAAAAATACACCAGTGAAGTAGAAAGTAGAGTAGTCAATACTAGTAGAAGATAGGCTCAGTGCATGTCCTTACTTTGTGTAGAAGCCACGGTCGCAGGGCCGACACTGCAGCTGTCCAGCTAGTGGCTGATAGAAACCTCTGGTGCACGGTAGACAGGCTCCGGGAAATAGACACAGCCCGGGGTCAGAACAGCACGCACACAGCAGGGTGTCTGGGGAGGGATAGAGAACCATTTAATAGAGTTTTAATCACAGCAGTAGAAACTCTCAGAGGTTATCTTAAGTAGAGACAGGACAAGAATCTAATACACAGGAAAAATCCTAAAACATTCAAATTTTTCTGTGATCCACCATCACACAAAAATGGCGGCTTCATGTCAAACGACACGGTCACTGACTCACTGTTGTCGTACTGCGATCCTGGTGCACAGGGCTCACAAGTAGAAGTGTTGAATGCAGCGCAGCCCGGGGTTGTGCTGCTGAGAATCACGGGAGTCACAGTCAGACTGGTCACATTCTCAATGAAAGTGGTGTTCATCACAGCAGGAGTTAGTGTGGTCTGGCTCAGCACCATGCCTGGAAGAGAGGACACTGGGTGATTCAAATCTTTCTTCTGGTAGTGGACATATACATGGCTGCAATGCAAACTCAACAATTACTTATAATGATCGGTGTTCTGCTTTTGAGTTCAAGCAACATCCCTGTTTGATCCCGCCTGGGACATTTGCTGCGTGTTGTTCCTCATCGCTCTCTGCTAAGAGATAACTCATATGGCATATGGCTTGTAACTAAAGCCATGGGAAACTGTCAATTTGACCAGCAGCTGAATTGTTAAAATCTTTCTGTGTTTCTTGGAGTTTGTTGTCTAATCCTGAATGTTTAATACAAACAGCGGAAGTGATAGAAGCCAAATATTGAGCAGGATTAGCAGGGTTGGCTTAAGTCTTTTTGGGGACCTAAAGTTCTACTCAGGGGGGTCCCCCTTCACATTTTCACCCACAATAATGTCTCCAGCTTTACAAAAACCACTCACATAACCACATATTAGTTCAATGGTTATGGCTTTAAATAGCTTTTATTTATTTAATGTAACACAAACATCAGAAACCATTTAATAAAGTATAACTACAATCACTATTTTGTTGATTTTGCTCATATTTTCAGACACTAAACATAAAAAACAACAAAAGTAGTCGTTGTTGTAGTTGTAGTAGGAGATAGTAGTAGATACTTGTGTTATGCAGAATTTGCATTTATTTTTCATGCTTTTACAATAGTTGATCAAAGTAGATTCACTGTAAACTCATCTCCCTACTTCTCAGACATGTACTGAACATATATCTAGCCTCAGGAGCATAACAAAGGTATGAAAAACAACACAAAAAGCAGGTGGGTGGCAGCCATGAGCGGCTCTGTCACAGACCTGTGTACCTCACAGAAAAGAGAACTTTTTCACTCAGCTGTGATATCTTGAGTTCTTAAATCACTCAACAAAATCTTACCATTCAACATAATCTAACCACTGAGGGAAGTGAGGGCAACAGGTATAAGCATAACTGCAAAACAGAGACCATATTGTGGTAGTAATCACATTAGCCATGTGCTTAAGTGCTTTCTTGAATAGGGGCCATCCTACTCATGTAATGCAATTATTCAGCAAGGGGGTCATGTGATTTCTCTGGTTCAGTCTCCTTTGTGTTGGCAACATTTCTCTCCCAAACCTTTAGACACAAGCCTCTGTTAAAGTGGCAGAAAGTAAAGTTCCTGAAAGTTTGTAACGGTCAGATTGAAATGTCAAGAAAATCCCTAAAGTAAGATTACAGCAAGAGGATAAATACCACTGTAGAGAACCGTCAACCAACTCAGTGCATTTATTTTACAGAATGTGGAGAAAGTCTGGGTGCGAAAGGTCACATTTTAATGATAGAACTACAGGGTATTTATGAAAAAAAAGATTTAACATGGCCACGTGACATTAAACTGCTGCTGAGATAATCTTGCAACAACTCGGTAAATAAAGCAACTAATAAACTGGAATCCTAGCGAGCATTTCTCACAGATGATTTAACAGCCAATGCATGAATATTTAATCTATTTATAGTGTTTTTATACTTTGTTTCTCCACAGTGAAAGTCTACAATAAGCTCGATGAGCTATAACAAACTATTCCATTTAGTGATTTTAAGTAAATTAACATTATGTTATCTATTATATCTCAATTATAACTCTATATAACTCCACAGTGCCCTTTCTAGTGTTTTACAGTATTACATTGCACAAAGAGTCTGAACTTACCTATGAAATAAGCGGCGCATATCGCAGACAGAACTCCCCGGCAGTCCATCCTCCGCATATTATCGACTGTTACCACCAAACAATGTCAGGCTACAGCATCTCATCCCTGACAAGTGCTCAAGTTGCCTTTGTTTTTCACAGATGACGCCAGTGACGCTCGCTGGCTCGGCAGTGGGATCAGTCCTCTCATCAGTATCATATGACAACATACGCACCATGTGATTTCGCTTTAGAGGGAAAAACTGAGCAAAATGTGCCCGATTCAGGCAGATCTCTTGTTGTTACACGGCTCAGCCAGCGGGGGCGCCACTGCCTGTCTGTGGTTCAAATCAAATGAAAGTACAGTATATGACAGACAGACAGACAGATAGATAGATATAACTTTTATTTTTATTTTATATATACTTTTATTTTAACTATAATTTTTCCATGATCTTTCATATAGCAAACATCTATACACAGAATGTATATATATATATATATATATATATAAATACAGTAATGGGGGTATCGCATTGTAAAAACACAAGTACAGGTTTTGCTGTCACATTTCTGTTGCTATTCTTGCCGTAGTTCTGCTTTGCAATGGGTGTTTTTTTTTTACAGATGATACTGGTGAATCATCTTTATTCTTGAGTAATGATTAGTGACATTTTTTACAGTAACTTGTTACTAAAACATACAAGCCACAGAAATAACAGCAGCAGTGTTTTGGGGAAGGGATTTTTTTTATCCACAAGTCACAAGTTGAAGATTTACTTCCCCTTTCATGCTTCATACACAGGTGGGTGGACTTTACATTGGGGAATTTTTGACATTTATTCTACAGAACAAACCTCAGTAAAGAAGGAAGTAGAAAATCTGGATAATCGCTCTTACAGAGAACCCAAAAGTTGTAAAAATAATAATCAGCTAAGTCATGAGAATAAATCATGGTGACACTCACACATTAGTCAATGTGTCAAACTAATAAAATAACAAAAGAGGAAAAGATAATCATCCCACAAGTTTCCGATCTAAAATGAAACATTCACAGTCCCGTGGAGCATGTTGCACATGTTTATGTCTCGAGTGATTCTGTCGGAGAAACAACATAAGGAGTGTCCTTCTGGATGTGACGCTCTAAGCTCTGCTCCAGTTCCTCCCAGCTTTTCTCCTTCAAGCTTTTCTGGCAGAACAAGAGACAAAGAGATCAGAGAGGAACACTATTTACTGCTACTAGTGTGAAAAATCCCAACACGAACAAAAACAGACAGAGACAGAGAAGTCAGTTCTTTGTTTCAGATGTCATACTCACTCTGTTGTATGCCTCTGTGTTTCCAACAGCTTGTGCTGCTGCCTGTTCAGGGGTTCTGGCCTTCTTGCTTTCGATTTGCTTCAGTCTTTGGCGCTCTCGTTGTTTCTCTTCGAGCTTCCTTTGCAGAGCCAAAACTGTCTCATCCTGAGTCACTGCCTGCTGAAAACCCAGCCTGGTTTTCCTCTCTTCTTTCCTGCAAGATGCCAACAATATTGAGAATGTGTGTGTGTGTGTGTGTGTGTGTGTGTGTGTGTGTGTGATATGGGTGGGTTTGTGTTTGTATCTTTGTGTAAGTATCTGCTTCAGCTCACATTTTCCCTGACCTGATGGCAGCCGCCTGTGCCAGCACTCTCCTGTGGAGCTCGATGGTGTCCAGCTGCTCCGACAGCAGCTGCTTCTTGCTCTGCTTCTCCTCCAGGATGTGCTCCCGTTTCTCCTGCTGCTCTGTTTGCTGCGCCTCCCTCAGGAGGGCCAGCCGCTCCTTCAGCTCAAGCAGGGACATTTCTCCCAGCAGCTCGTGGCCTGCAATCTGGTATGGGACAACAGATTAACCGTGACACAAGAAGCATGTGAAAGTATGTTAAAGGTGACATGGCTTTCCCTTCGCTCACCTCTGTGTCGTCGAAATTCCGGACTCTAATGTGAGGAAGCGATTCGATGGCGCGGATTTCATGGATGATTTCAAATTTCCTGCTGAGCTCTGCTTGTGCCTCCTCCAGCGCTTGACGGAGGAGCTCTCGGCTTTGCTCTGAGACTTCTTTCACTGTGAATTTGGCATGAAATTGATGAGAGTGAAAGAGAAATCATGAAAGAATGATCATTGTATCACACATGATGTCAGACAAGAGACCTACCTATACTTTGCTTGAATTTCTGTATCTTCTCTTTGGCTGTCTTTGAGTTCTTGTGGCCTTCTGCCACTTGTTGCACCAAGTCTCTCATTTCTTTTTCCTCCTGCAACCTTTTCTCTGCATATCGTCGCATCAGCTGAGCTCTCTGCAAGACACAACAAAGCAACCCTAAAAGACATGTTTTATGCGTAATTGTAAATCCCTTTAAAAAGGCCCTTTTAAGGGGTGTTTGTAGAGAACAGCCTCCCTTTTGTCTAGTCACCCTTCTCGTTACACACTTTAAAGTGCTGTGTGATGTTCTGTAAATTCCTTTTTTTGTGTCAGTTATCGAGTGATCTTTACCCACCTCTTCTTTCTTCAGCTGAGCAGTCTTCTGGTTGCGTTCCATTACACGTGTGCGGGCCATAGCTGCCTCCTCATAACTGATCCGTCCCTCCAGCCGCCTGCGCTCAATCTTGGCCAGCTCCTCCTGAAGGTCCCTCTCACGCATCTCCTTCTGCCACTGCAGGAAAGACGAGGGCTCGCGTGCCCCCTCCACCAGACGCTCCATTCTGTGTCACAAATACAAAGAAATGACTTGTTTAGCCCAATTTGAAATCAACATCTTGTTTGCAAGAGAGACCTGAGTAATACTTACAATATAAGTATTATGAAAATTATCAGGAAGTGGAATTTTAATGTTACTCCAGTACTGTCTAGTGCAGGATGTTAATCGTATTGAGATGTATATTCCCCCTAAAACAGGTGAAACAATGGCAGATAAATGCTGTGCTGTACCTTTGCAGCTCCTCCTCCACCTGACGGTCATATAGCGCCCCCTGCCTCAGGATGGCTGCACTGTTGAGCTTGATGGGCCAGCTGTTAGTCTAACAGAGTCAGAAGAATACAAAATACATGCCAGTGGATGTTATAACTACATCAGTGGACATTCATCAGTGCAGACTGATCCAATGACGCAGGTGGAATAATTAGACCTCACCTTAATGCTGGAAGGAGGTCCAGAGGAGTGAAATGAGTTGAACTTGAGTTTTGAATCCAAGTCCTCCCTAATCTGAGACATCACTTTCTGCAATACAAATGGTGGTTCATTAGGAATGTGAACTGACTGCTGACTGAGTGAATATTTATTATCTAAAAACGACCTGTAGGCAGAAGTTCGCCCGCCATAAGGTTCAATTTTTATTTCTGGTTTTTAGTAAGTTTGGACATGATGAATTAATAGCATGACTTTGTAAAAATAGCCCCTACCTTGGTGTGTTGAGACTTCTGTGGATTTACACATCTGAACTGTTTCATATTTGCCTCATAGAGCAGCTCCTTTGGAGAAAAACATATTGCATGTTATCACAGAGGCATGGAATAAAGCACGTTGTATAATATGACAGTATTTAAGACGCTTAAACTGTTGTTTTCTTTTTGTATTACATGAATATAACAGCCTTTTCATCCCAGGTGATGATTACTGTAAAAGCAGATGTTGTACCTCAGTCTGTTGCTGGTTCTTTTGTTTTAACTCCGCCATCTTCTGCATCTCTTTCGGAGCCTTGTATGTGCTATCTGGTACCTGTAAGACAAACCATCCTGCTTTAACACACTATATACAGCTTAATACATGTCTTATCTATATTTCCTCTAAGGTACAGTGCACACATAAACTAACTGTGTGGATATGTTTGAAGGAAATACTGTATATAACTGTAAATGAGGCTGACTGGTTTGCATTTTTCCTGCTGTGGAATGAGCTCAGGCATAGGCAGAGATGGAGGTTTGGGTTTGGTGAGGGAGAACTCCTGGGGCTCGGTGGTTTTAATTGGAGCTTTCTTGACCCGACTCCCACGAGATATTTTGACAGCAAGCTGCTTCATGAGAATATCGATCTCAGGGCGCCACCTAAAGGACAAATGGACATTTGCTTGTCATTCCTTACATTTTGGACTAACCTAACCTTTGGATTTCTTACCTAAAATAAATGTTCCTGTACTTTTCTCACCTCAGCAGAGGGTCAATCCAGTGTTTCTCCACATAGGCAGCATCATAGATGTTATTCCACTCCTCTTGGATCCAGGTGGTGAGGTTTGTGAAGAAGAAAGTCAGGAACTACAAGCAAAACACAGCACACACTCTCACACAGAGGGCACATTGATAGAGATTTTGTTTGTTGGTGATCAGAGTTTCTTACTGTGTGCATCTTCTTGATGTCCAGGGATTTCACAATGTTGCTGAAACACTGAAGTCCAAGGTCATCAAGGAAAAATGTGGCGAGGTAACAGATAACTGAAAAACAACATAGTTTCATAAACATGTTAATGGCAATTTTGTTTTATTCAGAGTAATATTTCGCAAGAGTGCAAGATTGTATGGTTCAGTAACTTACTGACAAACTGGCTGCGATCACCTTTGGATAGGCATTTCCCATTCTGACCATAGAAGACACTGATAACCACGTCCAGTAGCTTTTTGTGCTCAATGCATCCAGAAACAACATCAAGTATGAACTTCTTGTGCAGAGTATCCATGCTCTGCAACAAATAACACATGTGGTATTCAGGTCTGAGCACAAGCAGCAGCAGGACACTGATCTGAGTCTACCTAACCTACCTGCAGATCCTTTGAGGCATCTTCCATGAAGTCATCCAAACACTGTCTGCCAGCGCTGAACCCATCGAGCAGCACAATGGCCTCCTTGACAAGTGATCCATAGCTCGATGCCATTTTAAATCGACCTGCTGAAAGCTGCTGGAGATTGGAAAAGAACTTTGGCTGGCAGAAAAGCCCGCAGAGATCACAGTCTCTATGATCAATACTCACACATAGATTGTGTAAAATTAAAATTAAAATGTGCTTCTACCTGAGACGGACCAAAGTGGTTGCCTTTTAAAGATACATAGATTCAAAGTAAATTGTCCCAAGAAAATTGACAGAGCGGCTTGTTTTCAGCGCGAACCGTTGCCATGTCCCGTCGTTGCTTAGCAACACACTAGGGTAAACAGACATGTATCCGCGCTCAGTGTTAAATGAGTTGAGCCGTAACAGAAACAGGAACTATCGACATTTATTTGAATTAATGAGAGGTGTTTTTTTTGTTTTTTTGTTACTGGGCTGTTTTGTTCGACTTGTGCAAATGGTTTTAATCCGTCGGATGCAGATTAACAGTGTGACATCCTGATCCTTTGTTGGCTGCCATAACAATAATTATGACGTAGCATATTGTGACGTCTGTGAGAGCCGTGCGATGCCTTCACGTGCTGTTGGAAATGTTGCGATACACACATCAACTTGATAAAACAGTACAATAACGACATTATATTGTTTATAGATTACAGCAGTTATAACCAGATTTAGACATCAGACCTATTAGTGATTACGCATAATTGTTTGAGGGGAAAAGTGACTAACTTTCACATCAGGGTTTTGAGGGTTTTGTGGGGAAAAGCTGATTACAGTTTTTCATCACATGCAAACAGGGATTTCAGAGTAGTCTCACAATGCATCATCTGATTTCCTGCCATAATCTCAACATAAGTAGATTTTTGTGGGCATGTAAACAAAGTTACTGGGTTGTTACTCACAATCTAGTTTTTAAATATTTACACTGTAAACAGGCTAAATGTTTTAACTCTTACAGTGATAACTCTTAACTATGAATTGTCAACTGTTAATCAGAGATTGATCTACAGTCTCAGCTGTAACAAACATCTATCAATACTGTGTGATAAAAAACACAGATCAAATCAGTGGACCTTGAGCTGAGATTGTTTTTTACCAACTCCTGTTTCCCTGGTAAAGAATTAACTTGAATTTACAGTAAGTAAAGTAAAGTAAAGTACACCTTTGGTTAGTTACTACTTACTACTAGGCCTGAATGACTGACCCTCAGTGTGCAGAATGGTGAATGTACAGAGTATGACACACCTGATGATTTCACATTAATCTACTAAAGGGGAGAACCTTTCTTGGTGCTGACCTCAAATCTGATTTATTTTCACATGTACAAAAAGAGCATGATTCTGTGACATTATAACTAGTCAGGGAGCTAATCGGGGTCCAATAGGTCACTGAAACAAGTACTTGGAAACGGAAGTACTGTTTATGTAACTTGAAACCTCCAGTGCACAAACACTAAGAACTGACTTTTCAGGAGACATCTTGTGTGCAGTAGTCAAACTTTTGAAATAAAAAATAATTGCATATTTACAGAATCTGGATTCAATGAGGGAGAATTATTAGATGTACTTTTTAAGAATTTTGAACTAGATAATTTAACTTTGACATTAGACCACACACCTCCAATTTCTGAGTATTTTTTATTTATTTTTTGGTTGAAGATAACGAAGTCTTCATAGTCAATCAGTAATCAACCAATGATCACTATAATTGAATCAGTCAAAATGGCCAACCCTATTTCTTCCCTTGTTGTTCCAAATTACATTAAAAAAAATGTGATAAAAGTTAAAATATTCTCTTCCTCCTTTTGCAGGGGACCCTCTACAACCCGCTCAAGGACCCCTGTTGGTCCCTGGACCCCAGTTCTAAAACCACTGCACTATAAGAACACCCAGTGGTCGGCTTTGTTCATGTTTCCGACCGACATCGGCGGAGAGCACGGTATTTGGGAGCGGCACTTGAAGGCATCACTTCCTGGGAAAGTGGGAGGTGAATGTTGTCAACGTGACTGTCATCAAGTAGCGTTAGAGGGGCAGAGAACAGCGGAGAACAGTAGAGAACAGCGGAGAACAGCAGAGAACAGCGGAGAACAGCAGAGCCGTCGCTGCTCCGCTCCTCTGTATCATCGGGACTTGGAAAGTGGCCGGGCGGCGGATTCAGGGGAAGATGGAAATAAGTCGTCGTTTTCGAATATCTCCTTTGTACGCCTCTAGAGCCGCCGTGTAACGTTCAGGGACAACTTACCGTACATTGTGTTTTGCACATTTTCCATTTTTTTGGATCCCAGCTAGCTAGCTTAGCAGCCAGCCGCTGACAGTGTCAGACACACAGGTACAGGGGAGAGGAGGAGGGCTGGGTGACAAAGGAAGGTGGCGAGGTAACGATGAACCGCTTTCGAAAGTGGCTGTATAAGCCCAAGGTAAGTTGTCGTGCATTCACGGGCTGTGTCAGCTCTGCAGTCTGTCTTCTTGCTTTTATTTATTTTTTTAAATGCATAGCTTTGGAGAGGGCTAGCCCAGCAGCCGATCAGTGGGGCTCGCTGGCCTGATCACTTCACCACACATCTGCTGACGTTAGCCTGTGATCCTGATGTTACACTGTATTAACCAGCAGCTCTCCCTTTGTTGTTGTTGTTGTTGTTGATGTTGGTGCTTTTGTTTTCAAGCGCTAGTCAGCTAACTGTGTTACAGCCTGGCAATGTACAGTGAATTATACTGGCATTAATGTTACATATTGGTGAAGTGAATTTCGTTTCATATTGTAGTCACTGGTACTTTCTTTGTATAACCTCAATAATAATAACAGTAATATGGTCATTGATAAGAGCAGCAACAATATTGATAAAATGATAATAAAAATGGTAATAATGTCAGTCATTTTACAAAATAAGAAATATATCAAGAGTAAAATAGACAGGAAAGTAAATAAAATGTTATCTAGAATTTTAGGCAAATCATTTTCATTATGAATTAATTTGCTGGTTATTTTCTCAATTCATTGATTTTTTTTTTTTTTTTTGGTGAAAATAGTAAAAAATGAGCATCACAATTACCCAAAGCCCAAGGTGACGTATTCACATTGCACATTGAGTAATAGTCCAAAGCCCAAAGGTATTTAATTAACAATCACATGAGACAAATAAAACCAGCTGCAACCACCAATTGATAAGCTGTAACTAGGTAAAATGTTTGTCCATTTAGGCTTTAAAAAATGACAGAAACAACTAATTGATTATCAAAACAGTTAATTATTTTTCTCTAATTGTTTGATTAGATGAGTAATTGTTTCAGCTCCGTTGCATTTGAATGGGTTTTATTTGTTTGTTGATTGTAGACATCACCCCGAACTTGTTGTTAAAAGCAAAGCGCATCAAATAAACTGCTGCTCGGGACCCAGGACACAACATTTGTAGGCGAAATCATCACCTATTGTGGTGAGCTGCTAATGGATGTGCTGTGATTCTTTAAATCAAGCTCAGAGTGTGGAAACATGCCTGACACAGCAGAGGGAGTATTGAAAGCCTGGCCGCTGTTTAATATATGCCAACTGCAGCACTTTTTAGGATGAGTAAATATGAATTTTTCTACAGGGAGGGAATTCTTCTTTTAGTTGGATTTAGAAACTCTATCTACTTCTAGAGAATTCTGAGCTTTAGATGTTGTCATATTTAACGTGAGTTTCCAGCCTTTATGTGCTCATAACCTTGTCCCAATTACTCATATCCTCTTATGGAAAGTTTGCTGTTTACAGGGAAGACTGAGCAAATATTCTTTTGAAAAGCACTTTGCGAAATGATGCTCACCACTTGTACTACACAGTATTAATGCAGCCTCTTCCAGGGAATGAGTACAAAAAGATTATTATTGTCAACTGCAGAACATTTATATAAGAGCATTATGGAAATGTAAAAAAAATAAGTCCGTAAACTTTTTGTACTCAATTAAAAACCTTGACTTCTGATAAAGAGACTGAAGGTGTAAAGCTTTTGTTTCTAGTCCACACAACAATGTCCAGAGCAAGTCAACAGACCTGAATAACATTGTAGTGTGTTCAATGTATGGCGTCCTTTCAGTGCACAGAGAAGGGTCGACCTTGCATCACAACTGCTGTAAATTGTCTGCCTCCAAAGCAGATTCTTCTATTGATAGTAACTGAGGAAAATATACTGCAGACATCCTCTTAAACAAGCTGGTGAGCGTGGTGCAGTGTTGTCTTTTTTTGCTTTACATAAAGGTTTGTCAACATGTATTTCTTATTGGCAGTATAAGATGATAAGTCTCTCTGGTGATAGAAGAGTTTCTATATCAAACGATAATAGTAATTGGAGTTTTTGCACCAGTAATGTCAGACAGGGATACAATAAAATGCCTTTGATTATATATTATCCACCTGCTCTTTGCCGCGGACACGCACCTGCGTCATAACTCTTTTCTCTGTTTGACCATGTTTGCTGTCACAGCATTTTGGTAGTCCATTGTTGGGGTTAGGCCTAAGTGTCGGGGTTCACCAGAGTATTGTCACATTCATGAATGACTACTGACTCCTCAGTGCTGAGCTATTACATCACTGCCTTTTCTGCCAAATCGCAGCCATGGTAGGAATTAGCAGAATTACCCACAGAGTCTGTGGGTTTTAAATGACCACTTCTGCCTCAAAGGAGTGAAGAGAAAAGTGCTAAAAGCCTCTGTAATTATGCCAATCAGCATGAAAAGACAACAGTAATGAAAGGAGCGTGCAGATCACTTTATGCTCTTGTTACTGAACAGCAGCTAAGCTCGCAAGTAATTTCTCTTTTGCACGGAGAGAAAATATTTCTGTTTTAATTAAAATCTGTGCCCAACCCACATTTTCTGGCATTCATAGTTGAACGCCGCATAGCGTTGTCATTTTGCATCAACAGTAAGCCGTTTATTATTGAACTATGTTCTCCTGGAGACAGAAAAGTGTTGAATCAGCATGTTCCCTTGACTGAAGCGGAGCTATTGATATTTCCAGAGCTGCTCTTTACCTCCCCAGATAAGTCCCACTGAGGAGGACTTTCTTTTGCCCCTGCTACACAATCCCTTCCCAGTGTGTTAGAGAGTAGTGTGCAGCTCTGTGTGGGACATAATATACCTGTCTATTCTGCCCCGACTCTGCCGTCAAAGTGCCAAAAAGATGAATGTGTAAGAATGGATTGTCCTGGTCTTCTATTAGCCTGTTAGGGGAAAGGCTGTAATGGTTAACCCACCCAAATTGAGGATATACGTCTGTAAAGGGAGATTTTTCTCATT